AGCGAACGCCCTCCCTCCGAGAGTGGCAATGTGATACCTGATACTTACTGTAGTACCAACGATTTCCCTTTCCCGAGCAGAGAGGGATAGCCACGCCCCTCAGCCAGTCCGCCACAACTGTACCACACTGCCAGATGGTTACCAGGACAGACCGCAAACAGGGCATGGATCCACCACCAGTCTTTAACAGTTCCACAGGGATGCCTGGTATCCAGCTCCTTGAACCCTCCTTCAGTTTGTTGGTCGTCTACTTAACTTTGGCAGAGTAAGGAGTGGCCTCACTGATTGGCGGATTCGGCCCAGGAAACACACACACACACACACACACACACACACACACACACACACACACACAGAGGAAGAGAGAGAGAGAGAGAGAGAGAGAGGAGAGAGAGAGAGAGAGAGAGAGAGAGAGAGAGAGAGGAGAGAGAGGGGGGGGGAGGAAAGGAGGGGAGGAGGGAGAGAGAGAGAGAGAAAAAAAAGAGAGAGGAGAGAGGAGGGGGGAGGAAGGGAGGGAGGGAGAGAGGGGGGAGAGGGAGGAAGGGAGAGAGAGATAGATGGGAGAGAGAGAGAGAGAAAGAGAGAGCGAGAGAGAAAGGTAGAAAAGAGAGAGGGGAGAGAGAGAAAGAAAGAGAGAGAGAGAGAGAGAGAGAAGAGAGAGAGAGAGAGAGAGAGAGAGAGAGAGAGAGAGAGAGAGAGAGAGGAGAGGAGAGAGGGGAGGGAGAGAGAGAGAGAAAGAGAGAGAGGGGGGGGGGAAAGGAGAGAGAGAAAGAGAGGAGAGAGAGAGAGAGAGAGAGAGAGAGAGAGAGAGAGAGAGAGAGAGAGAGAGAGAGAGAGAGAGAGAGAGAGAGAGAGAGAGAGAGAGCGAAAAAGAGACAAAAAGAAAAAGAAAAGAAAAAAGGCAACCAGAGATAAAAAAAAAAAAAAAAAAAAAAAAATATGAACAGAAATAGTGAGAAGAGATAATATCGTTTTCATAACACCACGAATACACTTAAGATTTTTCTATAAGCAAAGTTTCCACATGAACTAAGCGAAACATTGCAGGAGGAGAGTTCAACTTGCCATTCCCGGTGGAGACTTTCCTTCAAGCCAAGTTAGTACTACTTACGCACAGAGAAAAAAAGAAAAAGAAATAAAGAGATAAAGAAAAATAATATAATAAAAAATAAAGAGGTAAATAATAATAGATAAATAAAAATAAAATGAGAAAAATAAAATAAATAAAATATAAATAAAATAAATAAAATATAAATAAAATAAAGAAAAAAAAGAAAAAAAGAGATAAAAGAAAAAAGATTAAATAAAAAAATAAATAAAAAAATAAATAAAGAGAGAGAAAGAAACCAAATATATTCACATAAATAACCATGCCTATATGTGAATACATGCATATGCAGTATATAACGATACTGAATTAATAGGGTTGAAGGAGTTATTAGGAAAGATTAAATGCATTCTTGAAAAGAAATAACAAGGAGCACCAGCACTATCATTGTGAAAATGTTAACTATATCAAAGATAATAATAATGAAAATGAAATAGCAATAGTAATCATATAATCATGATAATAAAACAATAATGAGGATAACTATCGACAATAATAATGATAAGTAACGATAAGTGATAAGTAATTGTTATGATAATAATTATCATAATAGAGAAAACGTTATTAATGATAGTAACAATCATGATAATAGTGATAAAAATTATCATAATGGTGACAACTTTGACAAAAATAGCAACAATCATAATAATAATGATAACAATAGTAATGATAATTATAACACCATTAGTAGTAAAACGATGTCACTAATTAAAGATAATAATAATAATAATAAGAAGAAGAATAATAATAAGAACAATAACAACGATAATAAAACAATAACAGTTACAACAATAACAATAATATTTGTAGAAAGGATAATAAAAATCG